CCGGTCGGGGGGCAAGGCGGGGCTGAGGGAGGCCCTCGCTCCGCTATTGCCGCCGCAGTCCCTAAGGCGAGACGCCAGCCGCCTGTCTTGCTGCACCCTGCGCAGCGGAGGCGCCCTAGGTCCGCCTGTGCGGCTGGAGATGCCGGGGGCCTCACCCGGGAGGGTCTGTCCGGCGAGGCTGGGGGCTACCGCCTGTCCCCATGCCTCAGCACAATGAAATTAAACAGCAAACTCACCTTTGCTTTTGTTTTTTGTGTCCTTCGCCCCTTGGGAAGGGTTTTCAAGGTTTCCTGCCTATTTAGAAAATGAAGCATTTCTAGTATTTTTTACTCAATTACAAGGTGAAGTTTTAAGAAAACTAAAACTTGACACACGCTGCAAGGCGTTTAGAGCATGGCAGTGCTGCTGAGAGGGCCTCTTGTTTAAAGGTCTTGTTTAATGTTGGAAGCTTTAAGCTGTGCTGTATTTCCAAAATTAACATAATGTATTTTTGTAGAGGTGAAATACTCTGTAAGTGTTTAATGTTTATGCATCTGAACAAGTACAGAAACACAGGGAAATGCATCAGTAACTCTCCCTGCTCTGCTGACTGGGAGGAGAGGCCGGAGGAGGTAACTGGGAGCACTCAAGTCCGAGCGAGATGAATCTTCAGGAGTCCCCGTTTCCTGCTGCGTGCCTGTGGCAGTGTGGGATGGCAACGAACGAGGTCCTGTGATGAGGAAAGCAAGGTCCTGTTACCCTATCAGTAACCAACGCTTTTTAACTTGTATCTGAGCTGCTTTAGCTGAGAACAGTTAGCTGGAAAGCTGTATCTGAGCTACCCAGTTCAAAGCAAGCTCCTGTGTGGTCTATGGGCTGCAGCCTGGTCCAGCAGGTAGGAGGTATTCTGCAGGAATAGCAAATTCAATATTGCTTAGGAGGGGCCGGAAGAAGGAAGAAAGAAGAGGGTTTTTTGGTAAACATAAATCTGTTTTGAGTTGATGCAATGAGTCAGCAACATAAGTCTCCCCACAGAGAAAATTCCACCACGTTAGGACAATGCAAGCAGGGCCCCAGCGCTCAGAAATAAGGGTCAGCATAAATGAAATCAGCAAATCCCTGTTTATGCTGTAGTTTGGAATCAAACACTCACATTTTTCCAGAAAGCCACCAAGCTGGCTCGTAAACCTGCCCGTTGACTGAGCTACACACAGAGACTGAACAGAAGATGCAGACAGAGAGGCAGGGAAATAGCCACAAACAACAAGCAGCACAGGAGGTACCAAGTGCTTTGAGTAAGAAACTAAAAACACCACGGAGGAATACTTTAAAGGGTAACAAAGCACTATAATTTAGCAGGCTCCCTCCCCAATCTAGGCAAAATCCAGTTTTCCACCACATATCTCTCAAGCCTGTCTTTTGAAACAGTTTATTAACTCCACCATAACTCACAGGACAGCGCAATATTACTGCTGCAGTCACAAAAGCACTAGGAAGTCAAATATACACACACGTGCCTGTCACGCATGCCTCCCCTTTCTCTCCCACCCTTTCCCAAAAAAGAAGGCATTCCTTCCTTTTACAACCTGCTGAATCATGGCACAGGCAGCCCTGAAGCCCGCTCCTGCCTCTGCTGCTTTGTCATCGTGGGGAACAGAACAGCCTAAGTTAAGAAAAAAAAAAAAGCAGCTGCTAAAAGCATATCCTATGCTGTGATTTTTGAGATGTTTGAACTTAGATAAAAGGAATGCAAAATCAATATGAGAGAGGGATAATCCAGAAAGAAAAAAAAAAAGACCGATAAAGGGAACAGAAGAAACGTTCACAGAGATTTAACTGCTTTGGCAGCCAATAAAGGTGATATTTTTAGACCAGACTATGGAGTGCCAGGGCAGGGGCGATGAAAGAAAGGGGGATGGCAGATACCACACGGCTAACATGACATTGTCAAGGAAAACCATTTAGGTGTGCTCAGGAATTGCCACAGGTGATTTCCCTCATTCTCTACTGATAAGATACTTGGGAGGGTGCTGTTCTCTGATTTTGGCAGTAAACTTGGAAAGGCAGAAAATGGGCAATGTGGCAAGGCTGGCAGAGCCCACATATGCAGAACTCAGAGGTGAGAGGCAACCCTCAGTTTATAAGTGAACCACAGCTTTGAATAATTGTATTTTTGGAAACTTTTCTTGACTGGACTGTTACCAGACAGAGCAACCTCCTGCGCTTTCAGCCAGTACTTTCCATTCTTAATTCCCTCTAACCCTGATCTCCAAATAATTCCTCCTTCCTTAATTCCTGCAGGGCATTACCACATCACTAGCGCTCTCCTTGTATTTCAAACATTAGTAGCAGATCTTTTCAGACTCATCTGGAAAACTGACAAGAAGTGAGTGGAAAATCAAGCAGGTCAGAGTTGCGGGGCATTAGTGACACCACACTGACAGATAGCAGGCAGTCGAGGCAGGTTACCAGCGGGAGAACGCTGACTTTTGCTCTTTCAGACTTTGAACTGCAGGAGGGAAGACAAGCTCGCATCTCTGTATGGGGCAATGTCCATGCATCCTGGTACACTTCTCATGGAAAACACATTTCTTTACAATGACATCTCTGGAGAGCATGCCCGGAAAGAGAACGGGAAAAGATACACTGACGTTATCAAAACCGGGGGGCAGGGGGCTAAGCGTAAGTGTCTAAAGGAAATAATGAAGTCCTGCTGTTTTCAAAGCTAATAAACCTGAATGTAAGCAGTGTTATAAATTAACTGTAATAAGAGGTGGCAGATAAGTAGAAAAAGGAAAAAGCATCAGAGAACCAGAAGCAGAGCACTAGCAGATGGATGGGAGGAGATGGGGAGGCAGGCTACTGAGGTGGAGGAAGATAACCCATCCACCTGATGCCATTTGCACAAGCTAGGAAGTGCCCCTGGGAACAGGAACTTTACAGAAAACTTCCAGGACCTGGAAGCTCAGAGTTAAACCAGACAAGAAAATAGGTGCAAGTTTGGTCTGGACATAAGCTCAGGAAATCTTGATGGTTTCCATGGGTTGTACGCAGCTTTTGTGGCTCCCTTAGGCATTGCACCAGTTTGCTGGGCACCATTTGGTTCCCACTGTACCCCTTTCCAACAGTTCCTTCACAGACCAGATGTAGGTTTGCTTGAGAGTGGGCCTCAAATATCCCCCTGAATTGTGTCCTCCCTGATGGTCTCACACTTGAAGCATTTTTACCTGAGCATGGTTGCAACACATGCAACAGGAGTTATTCCCTCGCTAGGGAAACGCAGAGTACCCTTCAGATGCAAGCCATCTAAAGACTGCCAGCAGTAACAACAGGCTACCACCACTTTGGTGGCCTGAGTACATCAGCAACGCCCAAAACTTTGCAAAGCACAAAATCCTCATTCCACACAGCTTGATGGGAGGCAGGGCGCAGAGAGGGTCTTTCAGTGTTATTAGCAACGAGGCCAAAAGAGAGAACGCTGTGCTGAAACAGAAAGTCTTTCCGCTTTACTTCACATGTTTCGGATCAGCCAGGGCCAACAGCGACTGACAATAGCTGCTCTCCCCCAGCTGCTTAGTGGCTCCATGCTAATTCCTCTGTGACTGGTATCCATAGAGCAACACACAACACCCCCTGTGAGTTGGTACCACCTTGCATCTAGCTAGCCAGGGGGGCTGTCTGCTTCAGGGCTTGTTCGTTCATTTGTTTGGAAGCAATTGTTTTGCCAAGG